GTGTTTTCTTCTAGAAAAGAGGGTCTGAGAGGCTTTACTCAAAGTTTGATTCTTGGACTGTCCCAGTCCCGCAGGCCACACTCAGACACAGAAGTCTGGATGAGTGAGGAAACACAGAGCAGGAGCCCCAGGCAGGAACTACTCCATCCATCTAAAAGGCCCCTTGTCAGGTAAGCCCCACCCTGCTCAACCAGCCACCTGCTGCCTACCACCTCCATCCTTATGTGGAACAATACCAGATTAGAGAGGTTCTGAGGCAACCTCAAGGCAGGGCTGCCTGGGATGGATGAATCCATGGCAACAAACCCATGGGGTGAGGTCAGCGGCTCCTCAAAAGAAGTAAAGGATAAATGGGAATGAATGCACAAGCCTCGGCTCACATACTAATTACCTTTGCTGCCAGCCAGGCGCTCAGAAATGTGACTCAACTCCAATGTTCTTAAATACACTGCAAAACAACTCCCCCCCCACACACACCATAAACACCACACATGCATACACCATACCACACACACCACACATACACCACACCATACACATACCACCTCATCCCACATATTTACAACACACACACACACACACACACACACACACACACACACACACACACACACACACACACACACACAGGCTGTCTACAGAGGAGCCGGAAGCCCCCAGCAGGTGGAGAAACAGTCCCCTCCACTGTCCTGAGTGTTGGCCCTGCAGAGACTGATGAGGACTCTGTGGGATTCTGTGAGCAGGGTAGCAAGACTGTTCTAGCCCAAGCCTCGCCAGAGTCAGACTCCCCAGTTTCAAATCCTACCCTGGGGCTGAAGAGTAGTCCAGTATGCACATGCCTGTGGGTCCAACTCCCTAACATTGTCCAAATCAATAAATAATAAAAGTCCTCCCCCAGACCACTTATTAGCACACTATGACTCTGAGCTACTGACTTAACTTTTCTTGCCTCAGTTTCTTCATTTGCAAAGTGAGGGTAATAACAGCACCCACATCACTGGGTTGTAGTGAGGACTGAGATAACTGTTGGAATGGTGGCATTCACCTGTAACTCCAGCATTTGAGAAGCCGAGGAAGGAGGATCTCAAATTTGAGCTCAGTCTCAAACAAAACAGGAGGTGGAGGCTGTGGAGTGGCCAAGTGCGTAAAGTGTTTGCCCAGCCAGCACGAAGACCAAAGATGCACACACACCCCATATGTATATACAGCCATCAGCAAACGTGAATGCACACTCTCGTGCACACACACAGGAATATGCACTAGCATACACACATGAACATACACACAAACACACACATACATACACAAAGGGTAACTATAGGGTGTAGGACACCAGTTAATGTAGAGAAATTTAAAAGATTGGTAAATGTTCCACTGTCTGCAGGGGTAAATTCTTCCATGGATTTCCTAGGAGGGGCTGTTGCCATGGAGATGAAATCATGAGGGGGCTCTCCCATCTGTTTATCTACCACTGGCTCCCAGCCTCTCTCATCATATGCCGAAGCCAACAGGTCCTGGAGGTGGTGGGAAGGAGGCAGGTCTTCGGACAGGAACAGAGCCTTGAGTGTGAGCCTCACTGTCAAGGTTGAACCAGGCCAGTGACCCTGAAACCAGCCACGGCTATTAAGTAGTCAGAGCCAAAGCTGCTGAAGACCACACACCAGGCCTTCTCCTGGGAGGTACGATCCTTTCCCTCTGGTCCCCCTATGGGGATGGAAAAACAAAATGTCCCAAACTGCCCTGAAACTCTTCTGACCAGCCTCCCCTCAGCCCTGTGGCTAGCAGCAAGGTTCCAAAGAGATCATTCTTCCAGCTACACCAGGCATGCAGGAGAGCAGCATATTGGGGGTCACGGGGACGGGGACAAAATGAGCAGGTGTGTGTGTATGGGGGTAGGGGGCCACCCAGCCCCAGCATTCGTCATAGCTCTGTACGCAGCTGAATACCTGCCACAGTTTACGCTCTCCTCAGACTCCAAGAGCTCAACACTAGTAACTTTGGTGTTACTTAACTCTGCGATCCTTAGTCTCCTTTGTAAGGCAGAGATGGTTGTGCTGCTTGCATGAGGTCCATGTGGAAAGCCCTTGCACAGAGGAAGCAAGGGGTGCTCGCTCAAGACTCCCATTGTCCTGTTGGGACCGTGAAGGCACTGAGGTCAAGCCGCCAGGCCACCGGCTTCATGGAATCTACAGACCAAGCTGGGAATCCATTTTTTCCCAGCCCCTGACCCCAGGCCTTTCCACTGTACCCCAGTCCTGGCCCCAGGTCTGGCAGAAGTCCAGACTGCGGCTGGAAGTCAGTCTCTCTCCCCAGCACTTCACTGTCCCAGCCCACTCCCCTGGAGCCAGGTGTGTTTCCTGCTTGGCTGCTTTAAACCGTCATAAGGTTTCCTGACATTAAACTCTTTCCCAGACCCAAACTGTCTCTGCCTCCCTCTGATAGCTTTTCCAAGTTAGAGTGTCATCATTTTCATTACCCTGTGCTGACTAGACACTGTCGTCTTTGGGGCTCTCAACTTTACAGACCCTTCTTAGGTTAGTCACTTAGTACAGCAAGAACATCAGCGCCTGAGCCATGAATATGCAAAGCAGCTGCGAGCGAGCCTGTAAATAAAAGCAATCATTTAAATGCAAATTGCAGCCTAGGCTGCCTGAACCTCAGTGCTAGGCTCCGTCTCTGGGTGCAGTTCTGAGGCGAGAGCGTGACTAAGTTGGAATCCCCAGCTGGCTCAATGCCGAAAGGCTACAGAGGTCTTGGACCCTGGGTGGGGGCTCCCTAGCGGAGATAAGAACTGTCTAGAAGTGGGAGGTGGATCTTTAAAACCTCAAGCCACTCCTCCAATTAGCTCACACGGCTCTCTGGGGCTCAAGGCAGTGAGTGCCCCAGGCTGGATCCATAGCGGGGACTCCTTGCACCACAGCTGCCCTACAGCGGAAGGAAAAGAGCTGCTGTCTGTCTCCTTGTGGAGGTCAAGGGAGCTTTTAAAAATCACACCCCGTGGCCTCCTGCTGAGAACCCTTCAAGGATTAGTGGCCCCTAACAGAATACATTCTAAATGTCTTTCTATGGCTCCAAAGACCAGGATCTGTCTAGCGCCTCTGGTCCCCTTTTGCCTATCCCCAAATCCGCCCTCACACACTGGTTACAATGGTCTTTGTGTCTCTTCTTCCAAGCTTATTCCCACCTCCAAGCTTCTGCAGCCTGGATGCCCTTTGCCCCCAAGTCGCCCTCTAAGTGGAGGCTCCCCCTCCCCCTTTGCTGGAGTCCACTCAAAAATGCCATTCCCCAGATGTCTCCTCACGCACCACAAGCCGGGCTCACTTTATTTTCCAGGCAGTCCTGTCCCAGCAGGTGTTGTATGAGGTGGTATTTATTTGCTCCATTAGCGTTTCTTCATCCACTTCTCTGCAGTTGCCCCCCCTCCCGCCCCGATCTGGATCTATACATTTTATACAAGGATTTCCGCAGCACTCGGTTCTGTGTCCACTACATGTATTGAAAAACAAACAAACAAACAAACAAGCCCAGTAAAGATATAGAGTCTGTCTTTGTAAACAAAGCCCCTTTCTTGTTGCCCGGGCCCCAAACTGCAACTCCTTCCCCTCCCATCTTTCCCCTTTCCAACTCAGCTGGCCCTTTTCAGACGCAGAAGCGAAGGGATCAGGGAAACAATGTTCACAGTCGAGATAGAAAACTAGCCGGGAGGAGGATTTCCAACCAACAGATGCCAATTTGCATTCTATTTACATGCTATTTGCATGCAGTTTAACTCCAAGTGTGGTTATTCCCAAAGCCCCGAGAGCCCACCAAAGAAACTTAGGAAATAACATTCTGAAGTGCTGCTGTGTGTGGAGCGTGCTTAGCTTCTCCCGCATTCTCTGGTCTTTGTGGGGGACCCCCAGAGCTTTCTGGACGCTGCTCAGGTGCCCCCACCCTGGCGCAGTCGGGCGGCCGATGCGGCGCGTGTGCTGGGGCCCCAAGAGGGGACCATGGTGCCCGCCACACTCCCGGGGCCTTTGTCCCTGTTCCAAAGAGCCGCCCCCTTGGCGAACAAGAGAAGGGGGGAACTGGCTAGGCCTGGGTCTGACGGAGCAAGAACAGGGGGACGAGCCCTCTGTTCTGGGGCGTCCTCTGGGGCAAGGTCGGTGGGCCGAACCAAAGCTGTTTAACCAGCTGCCGCCCGCTATGGCGGGGTGCGGGCTCCTCGTCTGGGCTTGCCTCTCCCACCCGGTCCTCGAAATGTGCGGGGCCCTTGTGAGGCTTTGAGCCCTAGTCCACCAGAAAGAGGGGGCGCTGCACCGGGTAGTCCTTACCCTTAGCTGGGCTGCCTTCCCCAGAGGTCCAAGTGCCCTCGCCTGGGACAGAAATCCTTCCCCTTAACCGTATGCAGCCGCCCCTGGACTTCCAGCCCACTGTTTGTCCCCCAGCCTTAGATTTCCTCCCGGTGGTGCCCATCCTCTTGCCCCTTTTCCCAAGAGTGCGCGGCCACTGCGGGCTGCAAGCTGTGTCCCCCAGACCCTGCGGCAGGTGAGGTTGCACGTCCCCAAAGGCTAGCCCTTTCCCCAGGCCAGGTCTGCGTAGTTCATGGCCAGCACCCCTTACCCCCTCCCTGCCTGGTCCCTGGAACCTGCCTGCGACGCCCCTCACAGGGGTCACTAGCACAGGGCCGGACTCCCCTTTTACTCCTAGCTGCCCGTCGTCTGTCGTCACCCCAGATCCTAGGCTCTCTTTCTGGTCCATGGACATCCGCCCCCCCCACCCCGCCCCAGATAAAGGTCCCCAAACCCTTACTCTCGGTCAGCCCTCTGAGGCTCCTCTCCCACCGCACTGTGGCACCCCTCACCCGAACCCCACAGCCTCCCTTGCAGATGCATCCCGAGGAGGGAGAACAGAAAAAGCACAAGCCTCGGAGCCCCTCCCGATCTTCACAAGCCCACGGCGGGAAAAGTTTCTGGGGTCCCTGCGGCGCCCTCCCCGCGCCCGCGCGGGCTGGCACTCACCGACCCTCGCGGCCCCGCAGCGCCGACGCTCCTGCTGGCCCTGGGCCCGAGTCACATCTCTGCAGCGCGCCCGCGGCCCCCGCTCCGCGCACGCCCGCCAGTCGAGCCCGCCTCACTGCATCGTCCTTTCCAGGCGCGGCAGCGCGAGGCGCCCCCTGGCCCGGCCCGCGCTGCAGCAGCCGAGGCCCCGCCCCTCTGTTAGGCTCCGCCCCAGCAGGCCCCGCCCCGGCAGGGTCTGCGGCTTGCTCAGCCCCAGGACCAGCGGCTGGCAGCCGGCAATCCCATGCGCATGGCTTGTTCTGAGTGCTGAGACCCATTCCACCTCCAAACCTCCAGTGTCGAAGACATCCCCTCCCTGTTAAGAGTCCAGACGCACAGTTTGCCCAGGATGATCTGTTTGCAGAAACATCTTCAGCCACATACAACGCAATATTCCCACGGGGGGTCTTAGAGGGGCACTCGCCACACATATCGGAAGAGTCCTGGACTCAAATTCTCAAGAGACTGCACGCGTTCCAAAGTCACCAAAGCCTCGGTATGATGAACCTCGGCAGGTCCCCACTGATCACATTCCCCACCTCCTGCTCCAGCCCTTCCTTTTCTTTTTGCGCACACTGAACCCAGCACTCGTATCCTTCCTTGGCAATCTCAAACATGAACCTCACCACTATGACCCCCTCACGTGGGTCCGTGTGCACGGTGATCGCCACCATCTCTCACACTTCATTCACGTAGGCACATGTCTGCCACTCTCCCAGGCAAACATACCCAGGGAGCCTGGACTCTGGCTGTGCGTGCACTGACGCTCAGGGCACAGTTACGGCCGGTGCCCACAGGGCGGGCATGGGACATGCGTGGAGGAGGGGTCTAGTACGGCCCACCCGGTTGTCTGAAGTCAGCACTGCCTAGGCTAGGCTGTGGGGTACTGCGTGCGCTTCAGCACCCCATGCAGCAAGCTATCTTGAGGGTCATCGTCACTCACTTTTTCTCCCCACCTGGTCAAAGCCCAGTCTTCTAGACGCAAAGACACGACCCCTCTCCCTCTGGAATGGTAGCAGAAAGGCAGCTGCAGAATAACACTCCTCTTAGAGGTTGTTGCAGCCCCTGAGTCTGGGGGATTATGAACTTTTCGAATACTGGCATCTCTTCTCACCAGCCTCTCAAAGTCCCTCTCTATCTTGCTCTTCAAGTCGGTTTTCTCCGGGTCAGGCCACGTGACTTGGCCACGCTCTCTGTGAATCTTTTTTTTTTAAGGACACATATAAGGGGCATATTCCTAGGGTAGAGTCCTCACCCCAAGTTTGCGGAGGTATCCGCTTGCCAGGAACAGGTCTTGGTATACAGTAGGCGCTCATGAAATGTTTTGCAGGACAAGGTCTTCCCAAGCCTGTTCTGATCAGATTGCGAAACTGGAACGTGGATGGGCACTGCCTCCTGGTGGTGTTTAGTGGAACTGGCACCAACAGCTTCTAAACGTGGCTAAGTTCGCTTCCTCTTCCTTTAGGGCTTCATCTGTAAACCCAGGCTGTTTTAACACACGCTTGCTGGTGTACGCCTGGAACACATTGTAAAGTTCTTCGCATAGGTGCCCAGCTCAGTGTTGGGTGAAGAACATCTGGCTCCATGGCCCAATGGTCCAATTAGTGTCATTTACAATGTCGGACAGCATCCCAGAGGAGCCTCAAGTCCCCAGAGAGATCGCTGGGTCTACAGCCTTGGAGAGAACAGCTCTGGGGCATTGGGACCTCCCAAGGGTGACATCTGTCTAGGGCAGTGGTTCTCAACCTTCCTAATGCTGTGACCCCTTAATACAGTTCCTCATGTTGTGGTGATCCCCAACCATAAGAATATTTTCGTTGCTACTTCATAACTGTAATTTTGCTACTGTTATGAATCGTAATGTAAATATCTGATATACGGGATATCGGATATACAGCTTCTGTGCAAGGATCGTTCCAACCCCCGAAGGGTGGCAACCCACAGTTTGAGAACCACTGGTCTAGGGAATCAGGCTCTCATATACTCAGCCCACCTCAGGAAAATTGCACAAACCCCAAAACCAAGTAGCTTCACTGGCTCAACTTGTCATCTCAAAAATGATAAAGGCTGGGGCCTTCCCGGTGACACTCAGTTTGTGAGTGTTTGTCTGTTGGTGTCTCCCACCAGACTGGGCCTCAGTCTGCTCTCTCCAGCCCTTCAGCACTTTCCCGTGGACTACTATCACTGTGCGATTGAGCTTTCAGTTTTAATTTGTTTGTATGTAACATAAGCAGCATGTGGCTAGTGGCTATAAATGCACAGCGCATCTCCCAAGCTCAAAAACATTCCTCAGGGGTTGGGAGCTGTATCTTAGCGACAGAGCACTTGCCTAGCATGCAGGAAGCCCTGGGTTTGATCCTCAGCACTGCATAAACCAGGTGTGGTGTTGTACAGATGTAATCTCAGCTCCCAGGAGATGGAGGCAGGAGGATCTGACATTCAAAGTCATCCTCAGTTGTGTAGTTACATAGAGGCCAGTTAGACTCTGTCTCCGGGATGTGGAGTGTGGGCAATTCATGTGTCATATTCATCCTTGTCCCATGTCCATCCCTGTGCTAGTCTCTCCCCCCACCCCATGAGGAGGGTCATGTCTCACCATGTATTTCTTGAGCGAAAGAATAATTAAATTTGAGCTGGAGAGATGTCTCAGCGGTTAAGAGCACTGGGTGTTCTTTCAGAGGTCCTGAGTTCAATTTCCAGCAACCATGTGGTGGCTCATAACCATCTGCAATGAGATCTGGCGCCCTCTTCTGGCCTGCAGGTGTACATGTAGACAGAATGCTGTATACATAATAAATACATAAATCTTAAAAAAAAGAATAATTAAATTCCAGCTTTGCCATCTCACATAGCTCATGTCTGTCTTGTACCAGGTCTTTGAGCATGCTCTTTACTCTGCAAGTAAGTAGATCATCTCCCATGTTGCTCATGGCTGTGAAGTCGTCCATCTATTCCTGTGGACATTTTGCTCTATTCATAGGATTTCTGGAATTGTCTGTATCTTGCATGTGACAAGCAGAGGCTTGGAAAGCTGGGGGCTTCCTAGAAGTCTAAGGGGTGGTTGGGGCAGAGGCAGGACTCAAATTTGGTTAGCTATGTTAGGTGATATTTCTGGAAACATCAAGACACTCCATGGAGAAGTGTCTTGAAGGTAAGGGTGGGATCAGCTGCCTGAGAGATATTTTCAGGGCCTTTTGTGTTCAAATGAGAAGCGTCCCCATGTTTCCTACATGTTCCCCTGTCAGCGGTGCTTGTTGGAGGAAGGTATGGAGCCTTAGAAGGTGCACCCCTGGTGGAGGAAGATGGGGGCCAGATTTGAGAGTTTATGGCCTCAACTCACTTCCAATTTGTCCCCTCTGCTACCCACAGAGTCCCACCCTACTACCCACAGAAGTGCCTTCAGGCATCTGAGTACCACTGCAGCTCAGGGAGCTTGAACCCAGCAGGGGGTGGGGTGGGGTGGGGGTCCAAGCCACACACCTGTGGGCCCCTCCTTCTTCCTCCATGGAAGGACCCTATGTCTCAGCCTTTATGTCTTCTTCTGTCTTAGTAGATCTTAACATTTAACCTTTCACCTCCAGATGGCACCTTGCTGTGTCTCCTGAACAAAGGATCTGTTTGACCTTGAAGGGGACCTCAAGTCACTACCTCTGTATGAAAACAAAGAACTGTTGGAATTGTGACACTTCTGGCTTATTTGTTTATAGACTTATTTAGAGACAGGGCTTCAAGTAGCCCATGACTTCACTTTGTTATGTGGCTGAGGATGACCTTCAACTTCTGATCCTCCTGCCTCCACCTCCTCCCTTGTGCTGGGGCTACAGGGATGCATCATCCTAACTTAGGTTACTTATTTATAGACCTCAGTGGGAATTTCAGAAGTCTCTGGACTGTCTGTGTTCATTCAGTTATCAAGTTCACAGTGGTGTCGGCTTCAAGGTCAGGAGAAGCCAGGGGTGGAGGACAGCTGGCCAGTCCAGGACACCATCCTGCCTCCTTACACCTGGGCAGCATCCCTTCAGCTTTGCCCAGGGACCTCACCCCGTGACGTGCATTCAAATCACCCCAGGGGTCTTGGCTAAACGCACATTCTGGCTGAGCATTATGGAGCCACCTCTGAACTGGAGCCCTCGTGTGGGCTGCTGGTACCCTGACCACACTTGGAGTAGCAAGGCTGGAGACCAGTTGTTTAAAACACTAGCTGCTCAATAAAACCTCCCGACTTACAGGGCTGGGAGATGTCCTGTGCATAAGTTCTTGCTGTGTAAGTGTGAGGACCTGAGTTCAGATGAACACACACCGCTAGGGGTGTGTGTGTGTGTGTGTGTGTGTGTGTGTGTGTGTGTGTGTGTGGCGCATGTCAGAAGACAAGACTACCTATCTCCTGTGGGAAGAGGGAGGTGGAGACAACTCCAAGCAGTAAGCCTGGTGTCTGCAGCAGCAAGCCAGAGACCCTACTTCAAATAAGGTAGAAGGCTAGAATGGATACCTGAGGCTGTCCTCTGAATACCACAAGTATTCCATGATGGGTATACACACACACACACACACACACACACACACACACACACACACACACACACACACACACAAGCAAGGATGTCTGGTCCTTCCTGGACCTATTTGAATCACTGGGGCTGCCCTCCACCCCCAGGTCAATCTCAGGATGGAATCAGGCTGAGATTATTGCTCAGCCGGATGAGAGAACTGTCTGGGGGAATCTGGGGACCCCCACTCCAGGGCTGAGGAGCCTTACAGAAGGAATTTGTTTTTCTGTGTCTGTATAGTGTGGTGACAGTGGGGTTCCCCATGAGAGCCTTGGAAGCTGGGGAGAGTAGATGCCTAGGGCTGTGAACCCCCCTAAGCCCAAGCAATATCTAGTAGGGGCCACGAAAGATGTGGGTCAAGACAGCAGGTCTGATGTCCACAGACTTCCTTCAGTGCACAGGAACGGGCAATCATGACATGGGATGATGGTGAAATCCCTCAGGTTTGTCTCCACTCTCCTTTTCTCTAGGACACCAGGTAGTTTTCACAGTGGCCTGGAGACCTTTGAGGGGTTCCCTGGGATCAGACTGCTCCCCTAACAGGACCGAGCCTCTCCCCTTTCTCTTTCAGGACCCTCC